ACTCCAGTCTGGGCGACAGAGTGAGACTCCAACTCAAAAAAAAAAAAAAAAAAAATATTTCACTTGTTTGTTCATTCGCTTGTCTCTCCAACTACTATGTAAGTTGCACAACATGGACACGGGCCCGTTATTTACTTATCATTTCCTGTAATTAGCACAGTACTTGGTATGTAATGGCTGGTACTTATTGTTTGCCAAGCTCAATTGAAGCACTTTGCTTCATTCATTAATTTCTACAGCAATCTGTAAGGGAAGTGCCGTTGTGAAGTTCATTTCACAGTTGAAGAAAGGGAGACACAGAGAAGTTAATAACTCACAAGCTCACACGTCTGTTAAGTGGCTCATCCATGACACATAGGCCTCTCCATAAATATTTGCTGAGGCAAACTTGTCACTGTATCCAACCACTTACTTGACTTTCCCTTTGGCAGGTCTCCAGGGTGCCTCAAACTCAGCCAGTCCAAAACGGAATTTATTGTCTTCTATCTTCCTCCCATTCTGAGCCCCCCGCACCCCCCGCCCCCGGTTATGTAAGCCAGAAACCCAAGACATATCCTTGGCTTCTCCTTTTTCCCTTACTTGCCACATCTAATCTGCCACCAGTCCTGTTCTTCATTTGTCTAGGACCCCTCCACCGTTCTCCATCCTCCCACCATGATCTTGTTCTGGCTGCCCCCAGCTTCTTGAACTACCGCAGGAGACTCTCAACTGACCTCCTTGTATCTACTTGGAACTGGCTCCAGTCCATTCTGTGATTGGCAGCCAGAATCGTCTTTCTCAAAACACAATTCGGTCCTGTCTCACTCTGCTTAAGATCCTTCAGTAGCTTCCCATTGTTTCAGATAAATCTAGAACTCCTGTCCTTTCTTCCCAGGGGCCTCCAGCCTCCTCACGCCCACTCCTCTTGCCACACTGGGCTCCATCTCAGTCTCTGAACCCTCTGTGCTCTCACCCGATTCGCTTTCTCTGCCTAGACGGCTCCTCCAAGAGCCTCCTCTAATGAGGCCATGTCCCCTTGTAGGTGATTTTGCATAGTAAATGCTCTATAGAAGTTGTACAAACTTTTTTCCTTAAAAAATTGAACCACTTAACTGTCTTATAAAATAACTATATTTACTAAAGTTCTTCTCTTTAGCATAGTTCCTGGATATAATTATGCACAAGTTGAAGACAGTCTGGTTCCCATTCAAGCAATCCATTCATATTTGACTTACTCTGATCACTGGAATGTGGTACCACGTGCTCGCACCTCTGGGCTTCCTTGGTATCTCCTCTGATAATATAGCTGATTTTTCAAGCTTAGCAGAATGGCTTTTGTCAAAAATTTGCCCTTTGAAGTTAGAAAGACAGGCCCCCATCTTACTACTTTCAAGAAGCTAGTGTAATAGAACAAGTAGACTCAAGACAACTTGGACTAAATGCTGCTATAAACCACAGTGGAAAAACTGCAGTGAAGTATTCCCAGTAGAAATCTTGGAATTCCTTCAAGTATATTGAGATTTTGTTAGAAATTGAATTGCCAGTGTAATCCATCTTCCTTGTGAGAAAACATTCAGATAAAGAGCTAGGGCCTAGTAGCATTAACCATTAGAACATCCCTTAAATCAATAAGCTACAAATCTGGCTGCGCATTCCTTCAGCACCAGGTGGTATGCTCCAGTGGCCCCCCCGGCTGAAGCAGTGTGACTGATGGCATGTCCTGAACAAGGCCACTGCACGGTGGTGCAGAGCCTTACCTTACCGTGGGCCTCACCTTGCTGCAGTCGACAAACTGCAAGTATGTGTTATTGTTGCACATAGAAGATCAGTTTTTCCTTTTGTTTTTCAGATTTTCCAAATGTGGTTATTGAAGGTGTTCTCCATGGGATATTCTACCCTCATCTCCAGCCCAGGTAGAAACTCTACAAGGCTGAACGGAGCTAAAGCAAATTTCAAAGTCGCAGTCAAGGAAATCGATACCAACCAAATTAACCTAAACTCTATGACATAACAGCTCTAGCTAGTGGTCAGATCCACAGTCTCAGGCTCATCAGGCCAGGGACGTTTCCATTAGAACGGTGCTTTTAAAAATAGAAACTGAACCAGAGCAGTGGTCATGCGAAGGCCAGTGTTTAAGAAGTAGAACATAGCTGCCAACTTAGAAACCCCTTGGAAAGGAGACCGCAGGAGATTCCTGGGAGCATCAGGAGCAAGACAAAGTCACTCTGCTTCAGTCGCACCTTTTGCGAATTGAGAATCACATCCTGAATTACACCGAGACTGATTAACTTTGGTAACTTTTTGTTCAGATCTTATGACACACTAATCTTTTCACCACAAGATTTTCTCCGCCAGGGATACATTCTCAAGTGCTGGCACCAGGAGAGGGTCACAGAAACACACTGCTAAATGTGAGGAGGGAACTAAACTGGAAATTAAGTTATACTGACAATATTATAGCATTTTAAAAACCTTGGCATTATAATTGACATTACAGTGGAGTTGTATCATGCCCAGTGATTGGCTTCTAGCATCAGTACATAAGGTCAGAGGGGCTATTAGGATGGTCCTTGAGTGCCCTTTAGAAAGGTGCAGTGTTGGAGATCTGTATATCCCAGCCACAAACGCGTTTTCCTCCAGTGTTGGAAAAAAAGTATGTTTCTTCATCTGAAGCCCAAATTAAGTTGTCGGTGTTTGTTTAGGGGCCATTTTGTATAAAAAGCACATACCTCTAAACACTAGAATCACACTCAACCCTGCAAGATGCTTGCCCTGGGAGAGGCAGACATGAACTGACCACATGTGCAGGAGTGGATGGGCAGCACTTTTCAGTTTCCTCAAGGGCATGCAGTCATCAAAGATGTGGCACCGCCACAGGATTTCGTGTCTTTTTCCCCACGGCTTCCTTTTCACTGACCTCATGTATCGAGTTAATGGAAGTTAAATATGTTTGTGATGGAACTCCACTGCACATCCTACAGACTTTCACGTTTTGAGTAGTGTGGGATGAAAGCATGTATAACTCCCTGTATGTATGTGCTCTATGTGGGCATTTCATCGAAAACTAATTACTAGCTAGCCTATTTATGGTTATTAGTTTTAATGAATTTCTGTGTTTTAGGAAAATATTTAAAATCAAAACAAATAACTACATCATGGGCTTTTTTTTATTAGGATCTAAATATTTAGGTTTCAGGCCTGCTGCTTTAGCAACAGATATGTTTTACGATAGATTGTGTCACTACATGTTGGAAATGAAAGCAAGAATGAAAGAATCAAGTGTCACCAACCAAAAATAAATGAAAAGTCGAGTATTGGAGATATTTTTTAAAAGTTTTTATGTTATTAACTATTTTGAGTTAAATAAAAACAAAGAACAAGACATATTTGAGTTTGTCTCCTGCTCCTGGGATTTTACTGGAAACCCATATTGTGTCTGTCTCTTTATCCACCCACATGTAAACGTACATACACACAACCTCTCACATATTCTCATAGATGCTTATTTCTAATCTGAAAGGATAAGTTATTAAATTATCTAGTATTAAGCCAATAGATACTCACGAAATATTTGATGATTTACTGAGATAATAGGAATTTTTAAAAAGTAAAGACTAAGCATCTATAGTGGTACACTGGTCAAGAAAACTTTTTTGAGACTTAAATGTTTTCCTAGCACATTTCATTTTTTTTCTTTTATTTTTCTGGAGTTGAAGTCTCACGCTGTTGCCCAGACTAGAGTGTAGTGGCACGCTCCCGGCCACCGTAGCCTCGACCTGCTGGGCTCCGGCGATCCTTCCGCCTCAGCCTTCCAAGGAGCCGGAACTACAGGCGCGCTACCACACCCGGCTAATTTTTTGATTTATTGTAGAGATGAAGTCTCACCAAGTTGCCCAGGTGGGTCTTGAACCCGCGGGCTCAGGCAGTCCACTCGCCTCAGTCTCCCAAAGTGCTGGGGTTACAGACTGAGCCACTGAGCCCGGCCACATTTCATTTTTTATATTTATTTTATTTTATTTTTTTCACATCAGACAGGTAATGTGCTGACATCATAACAAGGCTTAAGGGAGGTACATCTCACACAAGAGCATGAAAATTCCAATCATCACACTTATGAACTACAAAAGGATCATCTTTATTTAAATTGTAATATGTAATTCCATCAGTCAGGGTTATTGAAGGGCCTGGAAACCACTGTAGGTCTTTTAAACAGAAAGGGCTGTAATATCGGAAACTGACCGCTTACAGAATCTTTTGGAAGGGTGAGAGGAGTGCATTCTTGGTTGGTGTCCAGAAATGAATTCCAGAATGGGCATGCAACCTCCAGCACTGACCTGCCTGGGAGCTACAACCTGTGCCTTCAGCAAGAATTCAGGGAGTTAGAAGGTTGCTAGTGGAGCTCTTGAGGTAAAACAAAAAACAAAAAATACAACTACAGCATAGCTGCAATCCAGGGATCAACAGGTAGGACCAGGAAGTAACTGTTGTCTCCATGAGATGTGGAGATAACAGGAGATATCGCCACAGGGTGGGGCCTCATAGCAACACCCAGGAAGCTGGTGACTGGGCACAGGAACAAAGTGTCCAGCTGCCACTACCTGCACCACAGTTGCTTCCACGTGCGGTCTTGCTTGCCAGCAAGCACAGCCCCAAAGCAGAAGCAGAAGACCTTCACCCCCTTCCACCTTACATTCCGTATCCTTCAAAGTACATCCCATTTGCAGAAACTTATTTTCCATCCAGCTGCAGAGGAGTCAGGAATGCACATGGGAAGGATGATGGCATCTATTTCCCTGGTTGAGAATTTCATAAGAGTACATAGAAAAGAAATCCTCCCATCTCATCTCTACTACCCAATTCCCCTCCCATAGGCAAGCACTATATTTAATGTGTATACATGAGGGATATTTCATCTCCATGCAAGCAAATAGTATATAGTTTACATAGTTCACTTCCCCCTCTTTTACAAAAATGGCAGCATACGGTCTCATTGTTTTCTGCCTATTTAATCATAGCTTCAAGACAGTTTTTCCAGCTGGGCTCGGTGGCTCAGCCTGTAATCCCGTGCTTTGGGAGGCTGAGGTGACTGGACTGCCTGAGCCTGCGGGTTCGAGACCTGCCTGGGTAACTTGGTGAGACCTCATCTCTACAATCAATTTTTAAAAATTAGCCAGGTGTGGTAGTGCGCGCCAGTAGTTCCAGCTACTTGGAAGGCTGAGGCAGAAGGATTGCCAGAGCCCAGCAGGTTGAGGCTGTGGTGGCTGGGCTCTGGCAAAAGAAAAGACAGTTTTTCCATATCAGCACACAAAGTGCTTTCCTCTTTTTTTTTTATTTTTTTTTATTTTGAGTTGGAGTCTCACTCTGTCACCCAGGCTGGAGTGCAGTGGCACACTCATGGCCACCACAGCCTCAACCTGCTGGGCTCAGGTGATCCTTCTACCTCAGCTTTCCAAGTAGCTGGAATTACAGCATGTGCCACCATGCCTGGTTAATTTTTTGATTTATTGTAGAGATGAGGTCTGGCCAGTTTGCCCAGACTGGCTTCGAACCCATGGGCTCAGGCAATCCTCTCACCTTGGTCTCCTAAAGTGCTGGGATTGTAGGCGTGAGCCACCGCACCTGGTCCTTTTTTTTTTTTTTTCACAGCTACATGAATCTGTTGTAATTTATGTGACTAGTACCATATTAGTGGACATTTGTTTCCATTTTTTCTCTTATAAAAATGCCATCGAAAGTGACTTTGTGCATGTGTATACTTATCACATTTTATTAATAATTTGCATAAAACAATTATAAAGTCAAAGTGTCAAAAACCTTTGTTAAACTCAGCCTGTCAGATGTGTAAATGCACATTTATAATATTTCATATTATTCTTGGAATTCATTGCATATATCTGCCCTATATTGCTGTGCAGATTGTGCACTACAAAAGTTAAAGTAGTGTCATTCACATGGACCACCATGTGACTGGTATTCCCTGTTTGGAACGCCACTCTTGAGGAAATATTTTTAAAAACTAGAGAATTCAAAGCATGGACTCATAAGCAATGGAGAAGTAACAGGTAGAGTACAGAAACCAGAAGAAAATAAAAATCTCATTACCACTTAAGCTAGTATGTGGGGACAGCCCCTACTCCCCCACTCCCTGGTTCCTGGACTTGGAGTTTCGCCCCAATCATCTCCCAACGCTGCTTCATATGGTGCTTCCCTCAGTCCTCATCTCCTTCACCTAGAGCTGTGGTAAACTTCTCCAGGTGCCCTTTCTAGTCTCCCCATTTCAAACAGTCAGCTGTGAGTACAAGCCCAACAGCACCATGACCATAGCTAGCTGTCACAGTTATACCCCCTCATTGAAAGATGCTAAAATCTCACCATCAGAGTTTAGAGAAATGCTATGGTCACACTTTACAAATAATAAGTGGTTTTCACCTCATTTGTCAGCTTTGATCAACTGACAATGGCTGCATAGAGTGCTGTGCTAAGGATTTTAGCACACCCACAAGGACGGCTACTATCAAAAAAGCAGAAAACAAGGGTTGGTGAGGATGTGAAGATGTTAGAACCCTGTAACAACACGTTGCTGGTGGAAATGTCAAACGGCTGCAGCCTCTGTGGGAAATGGTATGACTACTCTTCAGAAAGTTAAACTAGTATTACCAAATGATCCAGCAATTCCCACTTCTGGATATATACATAAGAGAAGGGAAAGCAGGGACTCAAGCAGCTAGTTTTACATCCTTGTTCATTGAAACATTATTCACAATGGCCAAAATGTGGAAAAAATCCAAGTGTCCATCGGTGGGTGAAGGGATAAAAAAAGGAAGGAGGTTTTGGCACATGTTACTCCATAGATGAACCTTGATGATATTATGTTAAGTGACTAAGCCAGCTACAGAAGGGCAAATACTGGAGATTCTATTTATACCAGGGGTCTAGAGAGACAAAGTAAAAGTAGAATCATGGTTGCCAGGGGCTGGGGGAAAAGAGGACTTCGTGTGTAGTAGGTTTCAGCTGGGGAAGATGGATGGCGTGATATTTGCTCAATAATCTAAATGCACTTAATGCCAGTGTTGTGCACTAACATAGTTAAAACGATACATTTTATGTCATGTATATTTTACTACAATTAAAAAAAATAGCAAAGGATTGAGTGAGAACAGGCTCTGTGAGTGAGGGTATAGTAGTCAATTAGCACTCTGTCACCAGGGCAGGAAAAGTTTTGGCACATATGCCAGTTTTAAGTCTCACATCTCTGGTACTCTCTAAAATTCTAAAACAGTAGTCCTAAACCAGAGACATGCATCAGAATCACCCAGGATTCTGAATTAATAAATCTGCCAGGCTCGGTGGCTCAGCCTGTAATCCAGCGCCTTGGGAGGCAGAGGTGAGTGGATTGCCTGAGCCCGTGGGTTCGAGACCCGCCTGGGCAACTTGGCGAGACCTCATCTCTACAATAAATCAAAAAATTAGCCGGGTGTGGTAGCGCACACCTGTAGTTCCAGCTACTTGGAAGGCTGAGGCGGAAGGATCGCCAGAGCCCAGCAGGTCGAGGCTGCGGTGGCCGGGAGCGGCCACTGCACTCCAGTCTGGGCGACAGAGTGAGACTCCAACTCAAAAAATAATAATAATAATAAAAATAAATAAATCTGAGCTGGGACCTATCCTTGGGTAGTTAGAGGTCCCAGCCGGCTGATTATGACACACACACCTGTGTTAGGATCACCATTTGAGGGAGAAGGCCTATGAACTACCCCTCAGTATCTCCTTCAATGATTTACTGACTTTTCTACTCCTTCAGGATCCACTGCCAAGAGAACAGAGAACATTTATTCAACTCTTGGGGCATTGCATGAAACCACAGGAAGGAACTCTTTGAAGAGCAGGAAGGATGACAGGTTTGAGTAGTGGCCTCAATTGACGCCCTATACATAATCAGGAAGTTGTACATTCATTCATCCTTTTGTTCAGTGACATGCGTTTGAGTTCTCCCACTGGATTAAGACACTGTGTTAATCACCTAAAGAGGCGTCATCCTTGTTTTCTTGAGCTTTTGGCTATTTACCAGGAAGAGTCGTTCCATTTTACTGAATTGGAATAAAGTTCAGTGATTAAGGCTATCTTCTTTCAGTCTCTCTACTTTTCTTGCAAGTAATCATTTTCATCTTGGCTTTGTTTTGATTTTCATCCTTGATGATAATTATAGATTTTAAATTCAACAGTGAAAACCCAGAGAAGTAGCAAGCACTAACTCAAAACTGAAATGCCTGCAACACTTATGTTTTCTGTCCATGTAGATGGAAAGTGACAGACTGGATTCTGATGAGGGGGCAGGGAAGTTTGTTTTTGTGTGAAGGGATGGA